GTCTATAGATATATATATAATATGTTATATATACTATGTATGTGTTATATATATAATATATTTGGGATATATTTTTTATACTATCTATATATATATTTGTGTATATATATAAATCTGGTATTATATATATTATATGTGTATATATATATATATATATGTGTATATTATATATAAGACAAGTATATATGTTGTTATATCTATATATATTGTTTATATCATATATATGTGTATATCTATATATATATATATAGTATATATATATATATTTATATATATATTTATATATATAATTCTATATATATATATATATATATAATAATATATATATATATATATATATATATATATATATATATATATATATAGAATATATATATATATATATATACAGATTGTTCCCCCTACTTAAGAACTCTACTTATGAGCATGTCATACATAGAACAAAATTTTTTAAGGCACTAAAGTCCAAAATAGTTTGAAGGATGCTAGTCACACTTCAAATTTTCCAGGCAAGAATATAGTTCAAGAGGCTGGTACTGTATAAGTATGTCGTACTTATTGGGATTTATTTACAGGTATTCTTAACTCCATTGCCGCTGGGGAAATGAGACCAAAAATGCGGGAAAGAAATGCGTACTCATTTTTTTATTTTGTGAAATATCTTGCTAGTCCTGATTTCACCTTTCCTGATTTGCGGGAAAAAAACGTATTTTTACTAGTGCTCTAAATACAGATGGTGTTATTTTTTAATATCAATTAGATATACGTTATATGGTTTTTGTAAATCGTGAAAAGGGTGAACGGGCAGACAGGCAGTACTCGTAATTGTCTCATTGGATACTTAGTCAAGTACTATATGTAAAAACAATCAAACAAGTCGACTCACAGTGGCTGGTATGTATGTACATGCCCATCCCGCGGCATGGGTTAATGTAAACAACTTAAACAAAGGAAAAAAAGGTAATGGGACCAACTTTTGACATCAAATCAACTTACAACGCTTCTCGTCCCCATTATGTTTTAAGTCGGGGACCTTACTGTATAGATATATATATAATATATATATATATATATATATATATATATATTATATATAGATATATATTATATATATAAAAGCAAACTCAGCTAAATGTAAGGTACTGCACAAAAAAAGGATTTTTGAATGCTACCGCAACTGTAATAAGTTATTTAATTATGAAAGTATTACTCTCATTTGCATTTCATGATCGGCTTTTGAGTGCTGCTGGCTCATGTGGCCATAGATTTTTATGACTAAAATATGTATGTATAGCATCTATATGTTTTGCTTTTCCTTTTCACTGCTGTGGTTGAAGTATGGACAAGAAGCTGTAAGCATATTTTCAGAGGAGAAGCAGTGAATGCTCTGAGAAAGTTGTGCAAGAAGCAAGACTACTGCCAGCAGCTGTGGTCATAATCTTTAGAAATTCTTCATAAAAGGTAAAAGAGAAGAAAAAAGAAATTGTAGCAGAAGAATCAGTAGAATCAAAAGAGGTAAAAATCAAGGCATTTAAAGCCACACTCTGAAAAAACATTCTAGAAGACGCAGGAAGAAAAAACGAGATGCGACTTTGAATATGACTCAGTTACCGTGAGGATGGGGCTAAAATTAAGCTTGAGGTTGATGATGATGAGACGATAAAGATTGGGATGGTGATGAAGGAGGTTGCTTTAAGTTGAGTAAGAAAAGAGCGTGATCAAAAATGATTAATTTGCAAGAGGCAAGCTCTGCGTCAGAACAGGCCTTCTAGTGCCTGCAGTGAAGAAGAGGGTTCTGATGAGAGTGTGTATTATAATAGTTTTTGATAGATGCTGTAGCCCATGTATTGGTGTAGCAGTGATGACTTCGAGAGGAAGTAGAGAAGAGTGGCATGATGATGATGTGATAAAATTGGGTGATGAGAGATCACTCTCATAATAGTCAGGTCCTTAGGGTTGGCATCACTGCCCTTGTCCAGAAAAAGCAAAAGACTTCTCAAAGCAGAAATAAAACATTAAGAAATCTCGAGAGAGATACACAGGGAAAAAGTTTTGTGTAAATTAAGGGAGGTAAAGTGTCATTTTAAGTGTTTTGAACTGTAATGAAGATTTGATATCGCACTCAGCTAAATGAACTAGGAAGGTACATCACGAAAATTAGAATTTATGAATGTAACCACTGTGATAAGGTTTTAATGATGCCGAAAGTATACTCTCATTTGGCTTTTTCATGCCGGCTTTTTTGAGTGCCGTTATGTGGCCGTAGATTTTCACTAATCCTTGGTACTTGAAAAAGCACATTACATTCACCAAGGAGCTCTGATCAAGTCTGTGATGTGTGTGGTTTTCAGTTCCTAACAACCAGATCAGTTAAAGCTCACCAAGAAGCCCAGCAATAGTGGTGACCCATACGCATATACTTGTGGGTAATTGCATCCACTGTGGAAGGAGTATGTAAGAGAGGCCTTCCATCAACACATAAACAAATAGGTCCTTACATTTGTAGCATTTGCATGAATCTTTAGGATGTGAATTTCATTACAGAAACATGATCCGCTACAACACAACCAGTGTGTGTTGTGAATAGTGTGTAAGTCTTTTCAAGAAAAAATTTTCACTTATCCATCATATAAATTGGTTCATAAGGAAGGTAAAGTTCAATGTCCACACTGCCCCAAGAAATTCACATACCGTTGCAAGGATGCTTGCTCATATTGATGCCAATCACTCATAGAGCAAGAAATACAAGTGCAATCATTGCAGTTATACATTCCGAACTGTTAATACTCTTAATTTCCATAGGCGCAGATTCACATGATCCAAACAAGCTACTGAATTCTTTATGCAAATTTGTGGCCGAAATTCTTCTTACCTCAAAGCTTACTCTGCACTATAGAACACATACAGGTGAAAAAACCTTTTAAGTGCCGAAACTTGTGGTAAAGGCGTGGCTGCCAATTATAATATGATGGAGCATGAAGATGTGTGGCATGGTGAACGTGTGACACCTCAAACACCCTGATGCCATACCACAGTCCTGTTGTAAAGCACCGCCGAGCCCCCAGAGCTCCAGGCGCAGATGTACCTGTGTGTGTCGATTCCCTTCATCAATCTGCAATTCCTCCAACAACATGAGTGAAAAATACATGTGGCTGAAGCTTCTGCAGATGATTCTCTAGCAAATGTAAGAGCAAAATATCAAGGTTTGAGTCAGAGTGAGGAGGCAAACAGAGAGAAGTGCATGGTAGTTGTGACGCCAGTATGAAGTAATGGCTGGCAGTGAAGATGATATAATTAAGCTCTCATCAAGATGGTGAGCATACCGTGCAGATGCAATTCCAGAGTATGCCATCATGTGGAGATTGAGGGCATTGAGTATCAAGTGTTCGCCAATAAAATATTGTTGTTTACATATTTCTATTCTAAATAATTTGTCTTTTTTTATTTCAAGTTTTGAAAATCAGATGTGTTTTTATAAGTTGCTTGATCCTAACTGGATGTATATTTTTTACAACTTATTTATGTGATTTTGACATTGTTATTGGAGTTTTTCTACCTATATTAGATTTATTTCAAATGTAAAATGGCAATATGGTATACCATATGTGACAGGCTATGTACAAGAAACTATTTGGTTTTCGCTAAAGAATTAGGGAGGAGATACTTAAGTTTTATTTCTTCAAACCACTTTCAGACTCACATGTGATGGATGATTATTGTGTAATATTGCATGAACATACTGGAAATTAAACTATTAAAGTTCTTCAATCAAAAGTAAATGCAAAATCAGGGAATAATAATGAAATAAACGTATCCTTTGATAAAGAACATTTTTGAAGTATTTATGGATATTTCCATGAAAAAAGTGTGTCAAGCTGTTTGACATGAAACTGCCTTCTAGATTAACTTGAAAGTTTAGAAGCAGATATTTCATTTTGTTATATAATTTAAAATAAGGACTTTCTAATATACTTGTAAATTGTTAACTTTTTACTTGTTATAATCATACCGTACATAAAATAAAAACCAATTTAATCTTTGGTAAATGTGCAGTAATGAATATTTTACAAATTGACCAAACTAATGGATGTTACATATTTTTTTATAGCAACAATATCATGACAGCGCTTCATCTGCAAATTTCATTCCATTTCTAATGAAAAAAGTCAACCGTAATATGATATACCCCTAGTTTTGAGAATGCATTATAACCACATTCACATTCCAAATTATTTATTTTACATGGAATAACAGATTGGTTTTCCTGTTTCATATAGACATCAAAATGACTGAAAGTGCTAAGGTTGTAGCAGGACCAACTCTTAATCTCCCACAATTTTATGTTGGACACTATGTTGCAGATGGAGAAATATTAGAAAGATAAAAATGCTGCTAAAACAAAAAGGAAGATGAATAAAGTATCTGGAATAATTGCATAAACACAAACAAATGAAAGTTACATTTTGTAGTATTAGAAGTGCAGAGCAAGTTCATCCCTCATTGTTTAGAGCTAATGCCCATTGAATGCATAGCTTGCCATCCACCCTTACGTTTCTAGCATGGGATTCCTCACGGCGAGCTGTTGTTCAGGCCCTTGGCCTTCTTTAGCTCCTCACTATAGGTAATGGTTGATTTGCCCTAAAACCACAACATCCCTCAGCTTCCTCCATCCAGGGATTGTCTTCCGGAGTGCCAAAAGGCAGGCAGGGTCATCCACAGGTAAACAAGCTAGGTGCGACATATAGCCTGAGTTGGCGGTTCCCGATTATGCAAGTACAGGATCCTACCAGTCTCACGGAATTACCACATTGTCCTGCTATTGTACCCATGATCCGGTGTAGGGACTTGTTACCAAAGCATCATGATGCGACTCAAGGCACTAGGTAGTGTCCCGGTTTCACTTTTATAAATCAACACTGCAGTATCACAAGGCACTGGACAAGTAGTTTGGCCCTTTCAGCACAAATTATCGAGATGGTCTGGTTCGGTCTGTTTCTACG